GCCCGGAGGGCCGTGGAAATGTCTTTGTTGCTCGGCCTGTGTTTCTTTCAACCAACTGGCGCGTCGCAACTGCCTGGACCCCAAATATGAAATTGACAGTCGAGGGCCTCTTGCAAAAAGCCAGGCCCGCCTTCACTTAGGGCGGGTAATGCTGCAAACAGGGCCCCATAGGCCTACCGAGGACCCTGATCCTCGCATTCCCTCCTCCTTTACTTCGTGAGTCCTCTGAGAAGTCTCTCATTCCGCAGACATCTTCCCCTTGAGTGCTCTTTCATAGCCTGCGATGACTTGAGGTGCTGTTCTCATGAGTTCTTCTCGTGTGAACCACCCATCTTCTTTAGGATCCAGATGATGTTTGAAGCTCACACGATGTTGCATTCTCGGTTTAGGAGGTCGCCCTCTGCCTGATGGTCGAGGAACAGGCATCACTCGATGCTCGATGATCTGGTCAATGTCCACTTTGCCATCCATGGTTGGGGGCAGCATTGATCTTCTGGAAGGAAACTGCTCAGTGGCAGTGAAAGGTGCCAGCTTGGAGGCATGAAACACTGGGTAGGTGCGTAGGTGTGCAGGAATACGGATCACGTATGAAGGCCCATCCGGTTGATCCCCTACAACGTCCAAGATCTCCCAGGGCCCAGAATACTGTGGCATCAGTTTTCTGGATATCCCTAACTCCTGACCCAATTCAGATGACTTTACCCAGACTTGTTCACCTACCTGAAAGTTAGAGGGCCGTCTATGCTTATTCTCAGATGCAATCATATCATCTTGAGACTTCCTAATATGTTCAACGGCCTGCTGCAGCATCTGTTCATATTTGACAGCAAAATCTATGCTGCCAGGTGCTGCAGTGGATTGCCTTTCTGGTAGCAGAAAGTCCAATGCAGTTCTGGGCTTCCAACCAAGATGTAACTGGTTGGGAGTCATACCGGTTGTACTGTGCACAGCATTGTTGTACAAGGCTACAAGCTGGCGACGAGAGGTAACTTCTCGTCCCAGTCATCCTGACTTGGCTTAATGTAATGCCGAAGCAGGTGCTGTACTACCCGGTTCATCTGTTCTGCCTGGCCATTTGACTCAGGGTGATTCCTTGAAGTCATTTGGAGTTTGGTGCCCATCCGTTCAGCAGTTGACTGCCACAGTTCACTTGTGAATCTCACATCCCTATCGCTAACGATGGATGTAGGCAAACCAAAATCCCGTACCCAATTATCCATAAATAGTTTAATGACGTAGTCAGTTTTAACTGTTTCTGGCATGGCAATCAGTCTTGCGTACTTAGTAAAACGGTCCACTATAACAAAGATATGCCTCTTTCCAAACTTGCTGGTCACAAGGGTGTCCATGAAATCCATAGACATACTCTAAACTGGTCCTTCATAAATCGGCAAGGGCTTGATCAGCCCAAGCGGAGCGTGAGTCCTTGGTTTGTCTCTTGGGCAAACCTGGCAAGTTTCAACATAGCGTTTTGCATCTATCATCATAAAAGGCCACCAGAATCTTTATACTAAGTTTGCTGATGTCTTTTTGTAACCAAAATGACCAGTTGCATCGTGACATTCTCCTAAAAATAAACTACGCAACGACTCACTACTGGGAACACACAACCTTTTATTCCCTGCCTTCTCAAGAAACAACAAGCCGTCTACCATCGTAAATTCGTCCAAAGTTCTTTTATCCTTTGCCTTGAATCTACGAATGATCTCGGACATGACTGGATCTTGCTGATAGGCATCCACCAATGATCGAGTCAAATCGCTAGATATGCCAAACTCTGTTACTAGTGCGCCCAGATAATCCGCCCGGCGAGATAATGCATCAGCCACTTTATTGTACTCTCCCTTGATTGGATCAAGTTGATAGTCATACATGTCTATCACTTGTATCCAGCGCTTGAGTGCGTCGGAGAGTACTGGCTGAGTCTTGATCCAGCGCAAGGTTTCATGGTTAGATCTTACATAGAAGAATCCGCCAAGGAGATAGTGTCTCCAATGTACCAGCGCTCTGTACAGGGCATAGAGCTCACGCTCATAAGTGGACTTAGCTAATTTCTGAGATGGCATCTTTTTGCTCATGTACTCGATAGGTCTCAACTTGGGCCCCTCCTTTTGCGCAAGGACCGCGCCTATGCCATATTGGCTGGCGTCTGTGGTCACAATAAACGGCTTGTCAGGATCAGGAAGTTTGAGAACTTCATAGTGTGTCAGTGCATACTTCAATTTCTTGAAGCTTTCTTCACACTCTTCAGTCCACTCCCAAGGGGTGTCAAGTCGAGTTAGATCTGTTAATGGGGAAGCTATAGTACTATAGTTCTTCACGAACACACGATAATAGCCCGTCATCCCCAGAAACGATCTGACCTTAGTAACTGTCTGAGGTCTGGGCCAATCACGTATGCTGGCCACCTTGGCATCTTCCGGCCTCAATCCATCTGCTGAAATTTCATGACCCAAGTACAAGATCTTGGTGCGACCAAACTGGCATTTATCCAAGTTAACCTTGTACTGGTGCTGTCTTAGGAGACCTAGCACTGTTTTCAAGTGCTCAGCGTGCTCCTCTACAGTCCTACGAAAGATGAGAATATCGTCGAGGTACACGACGATAAACTTGTCCAAGTAGTCATGAAAAATCCTATTCATCGCGTGTTGGAACGTACCAGGCGCATTGCATAGGCCAAAAGGCATCACCACAAACTCGTACAGACCGTACCTGGTCTGAAATGCGGTTTTGTGCTGATCCTAAGGTCTAACGACAATTTGATGGTATCCAAACTTCAAGTCTATCTTTGTGAAGTACCGGCATCCCTGCACTCTATCCAAGAGGTCGTCGATGCGGGGTAGGGGCTCCGCGTTCTTAACGGTGATGGCATTGAGGCCCCTATAGTCAATGCACATCCTTAATGGACCTCCCTTCTTTGGAACAAATAAGACTGGCGCACCGACGGCACCGTAATGGGAGGTACTAGGCCGTATCCATCCCTTCTCTGTGAGCTCCTTGAGCTGACGACGAAGCTCATCTAACTCCGCAGGAGACATCCTATAGATTCGTCCTCCAGGCACCTTGCTACTCGGGACAACCTCTATCGCATGGACAACCTCCCTTTCTACCACGCCTGTGGGCTCCTCAAAAAGGTATGAATATTGAGCGACGATTTTTTCTATCTCTGGGGGTGTTTTAACGGCCTCCCCTTTCTCAGAGACAAAAACTAGATACATGCCTTCCTCGCGATTCTGCTTATAATAGTTATAGAAGGATGATGCACACATGCACCCGTAGTTTTCTATTAGGCTGCTAGCTTTGAACTTTTGCAATCTAACAGATCTTCCGTTGGGCAATTTGTGAATCAATACCTTTCTATCCCAGTCAAACTGCGGTTGCGCGACCTCGAAATAGTACATACCTAGGAGCATGTCAAATGGCAGTTCGTCGCTAACCAGGAAGGAGATTTTATGACTCACTTCCCCTCCTCCATAGGAGAAGGTGCAGACTACGTCCTTGACATAGTCTTTCACCAACATTTGGTGCTTGTTGGCCAGCGTAGAAGCTACAGTTCTGCTAAGCCGCTGCACTTGGTCCCCTAAGCGCAGTCTATCCATACAAGCACGACTGATGAAATTTCGTGTAGAGCCTATGTCTGCGAAGGCGCCAACCTTGCGGTCACCTACATCTACTTCTACCACGAAATGTTCACCCTTTGGACCTCTACTGATCATCGCCCAAGAGTCCCTAGGGTCCTT